ATCCGAGCGAAAGCGGGGGAAGGAGATGGTCGAAGACCGGGTCTAAATTTGGAGTCACTTAGTCAGCGTGTTCTGAGGAAAAAATCTAATAAAAGACGCGGGCATCGCGTGGATTTCCAGTCACGTACGCGTTGACATGACAAATGATCCCGTGCATTGACGCGCGAGCCGCTTATTGAATAATTCAGGCAGAAATTAAACACGGTTGCGTTTTCGAAGGCAAGAAGTTTGAGGCTCCATATTGAGCGGCTCGGCCATTCTTTCGACGTTGCGGGCCCTCGGGACGTTCCGGGGAGTTGAATCTTCGCACGGACATTAACATTCGAGCGATCATTAACATTCAAGCTGGCGTGTTCCTTCGAACGGCCAGATGTTCCCGGTATGGAATCAAGGATTTAACAGTAGCAAGAAATTTTACATCCCCGACAACTCCGAGTTCGTAAATATATAAACCGCTTTGCTCGCTCCTCCCATGTTCCATTACCGGTTAGGCCAAACTCTCTAACCACGTCAGCCCTCGAGGCAGGCCTCGTAAAAACGCGTGTTCCGAGTCATTAACGTTCTCCGTGCGGCGAATGGTCTCTCTGTCCGTGTGTTCGCGTGTAGGCCAGAAAAGAACGTTCATCCGACGACTCTATAAAGCTCGGTCCGGTTTTAGCGCGATTTTCCCCGGGGACAAGCGGAATCTTCCCGATAGCCGGCGATGCGCGAACGGGAAAGAGAGATTCGACCAACGATCGAAGAAGCTGGACGCGTTCCTTTGACGCGCGCGTTCACGCATGAGTAGGCCGGGTCCTTCTTTTGGACCATCGCCGGTAGGCAATCAAGGAGGACCGGTGGAAGCCGCCCTGGCCCTGGCCGAACCGATGCAGGAACACATACGTTCGTTCCAGGAGCAATGTGCCAGCAATTTATGACGAGGTACACACGTACGAACGCGCACCTCCACGACGATCTAGCCCCGTCTGTACGCGTACCTAGATTCACCTACGTTCGACTACGTTCGACTACGTTCGTCTACGTCTACGCGCGTCTATCGCACGCGTGTGTGTAGGTGTGCAGGGCGGAGGCGAAGCTACGGAACCGTGGCTTGCCTCTGCCTTATAGGTGCCCCCTACCCGTCCTCATACCCTCCCATCCAGCCGCGTAAGGGTGGAGCTCACGAAGAGAAAATCCTTTGGCCAGCGAAGCTTGGATAATCGCGCCTCCGAGCTATAGTCGCGCCTCTCCGTCGGAGAGGCTAGCACGGCAGAGAGAAGACACGCTTTGCTGCAATTGCAGCGGCTGCCCATCCGCGTGGAAATCATAGCTCGCTGCGGGACTCGAAATTGTCCGGAAACGCTCGGATTCTTCTTTCACCGGGGCCGACACGGCGGTGGCGATGGCGAGGGCAGGGGGGCCACGAGGGTTCAACTTCTTCGGGGATTTGAACGTAAAGGGGTCGCGCCCGGTACCATCGGCGACCATCTCTATTCTCTTCCTCCCTCTCTTTCTTTCTTTCTTTGTAATTCCACGGGCAGCTCGAGGCTGGCTCGTTGTTCCGCCCCGTGTCGCCCCAGCCTCGATCCCGCCGGGTCCGATCGAAATCGAATCTGGGTTAGAGCGCGACGTTGAACGACCTTGAACGAACTAGAGCCGTTACCGTCACTACGACGACTATCGAAGGAACGATCTCGACTATCCGGGAATGTCTCCCTCCGTTCCTTTTATGTCACGATCGACATATGTTTCGCGATTAGAGTCGGTGCAGGGGAGTCGCTTTCTGGGTTACAGTTCCTCGTAGCCTTGCTTCTTTTTTCGTTCATCTTCAAACGTTTTCTTCTCCTCCGCGAGCTCGCAGGTTATCGTAGGATCGAACTTCACTTCGATGTCCACTTCGTTCCCTTTACTTCTTTTCGGATCCCTAAGATATCTGTCTCCCGACACGGAACAACCTCGTGCTCGTCGAATGTTTGTACGTGTACGGTATATCGTGGGCGTGGAACGAGCCTAGTTCGCAGGGACAGCTAACGCCGAACAAGATCCATCGCGTGGCGTACCGTTGATTGCGTCCAAGCCGCTGTTCGCGCATCGTTCGCTGAAAATCCCACGATAATCCCCTTAGGGGTCAGAGACCGGCTACGGAAGTACCATATTGTGAAATCTGCCGGAGAGCAGTAATGTTCGAGGTTCGAGGTTCACAGACTCGTCCGATGGTGGATGGTATTAGATGTCATCGCGAGAGAGATTACGCGCCGCTTTGAAAGAGCCTCGCCATCCCTTTTGCACCTTCCTCTTTCCTCTTTCTTCCACCTATTCTCGCCCCAACCGCACCCCCGGCCACCCTTTCTTCTCCGGAGGTACGTCGCTATTTCACCTACTCCTTTCCTCGGTGTCGTCCGTTTGCTCAGACGTACAACGCGTTTTCCCTCCCCTCTCGTCCTGCCTGCCACCCCCGAACGCTCTCCCACGCCCTTCCGCGCCCCCTGCGCGCTCGTGGCGGCGGGAAACCCCTGTGGCATTGAAGGGAGCCAGCTTTCATATCCCATTTGCCCCTATTTTTCATAAGCGATATTAGAATCTATCACCGAGACCCGGCAGGCACTCCAGTGGAGAGCCGACGGGATGGAAACGAATCGGGGGCCAGGGCGGGAGGGGCAGCTCGGATACCGTTAAAAAAGATAGAGAGGCGCCCGATTATCGGCCGGGAGGGGTACCTCGATCGCTGACGATTATCGACCCCATTCAGCCACCGACGTGAATGGATCCAGGCTCGCGACAGCCAGACCCTTTCCATTCGTATTCCGTCTCGTCTCGCTCGTTCTCTCTCTCCTCCTGCTCCTCGTGGCAGGCGAAAGTTCGGTTGTCGTATATATTACCGGGGCAGCCTGATATTTCATTCATCCCGACGCCGGGTCGTTCGAACGTAGATTGGGACATCGATCCAAGTGCTTCTGTTTGATTTTTCACAAAGTTCCGTATGGTTTCGCGTTTCGGGGGTGTATAGCGATATTTCCAAGCGTATCGTACCTTCCGAGTCACCGAAAAGACCCCGACAAAGTGTACGCAAGAGGCAAATCGAAGAAGCTGACGGAGAATAATTTTGCTCCACTAGGAATTTATCAAACGCACCGAAGCAATCACGGAATATTCGCTACGTTTCGTTGCTGGTTCCACACCCTAGCTTATCGCTTATCGATCTATTAGAGAAAGGTTAATAAATATGCACCAGATCCGATCTAGTCATGGGCCTTTGACGTCGGTAACAGGAACGATAACGTTCCAAAAATAGTACCGTATTATTCCGAACTGTTTCGATGGAGCAACTCGGTCAGGATATCGCATCGATCATCGGCGAACGTTCGGGGAGCCAGTAATTCATATCGCTGCCAACAAATTACAGGTATTAGAAGAAAATCCTTTACGTCGCTTACCATCGAGCGGCTTCCAAACGAAAACTAGTCCTCCCTGCAACGAGGCTTGTTTCTTAAGAATTTATTCATATCGTCGTTTATCTGCCGATCTACGCTATCGCTGTAGCAAGACGGAAACTTAGGGTGCCGCGCGAGACATTCGGAACGACCTTCGTCAGCGCGAAAAAACACCGCGGGATAACAGATGGTGTTATGCAAATTTTAAAGACTCTCCCTCGATCCCCCCCGCTCCCCTCTTTCTTTCTTCTCCTTTTCCCTTTCGTTTCCTTCTCGTGTTTCTTCGTGGTCCCTTTTTCGCTCGATTCCGTTCGGCTTCTAATCGAGCCACGATGAATTTACATTTTCCGTATTTTTCCCACCGCGAACGGAATTCCTCTGGTCGTTTGTACACGTGGTACGCGCGCCGGATGTAAATGCCCGGCCGTTTCGATTCCTGGCACGCGTTCCTTCTTTTATTCTTTATGTTAATCGCACCTGAATAAAAGCCCGCGCAACCGGCCGCCGCGATCGACCTATTGTTATGCGTGACGCGATCCACGGAAATTCAAAGATGCTACCGCGTTCATGACTTCTCGAAATTCTGCCAGGTCGACTGATAACATCTCGCGGTACCTCGGCGTTTTCGTCTAGCCACGCCGCAGAGGGCACATCCGCTGGGATCCGGATCGTTTCGATGCCAAGAACTCGAAGGATAATCGTTTGGATTATCGCAACGTGACGAAGAATTGACAAATCCTTCGCGATTTCGAAGAATATTAAATATGGGAGAAACGTAAACGAGAAATAGAGAACGATCGATTATCGACCGCAATGATAATCGGAAGATCCCCTTTGCACACACGCCATCTTGTAAAATGCGCACGAAGACCTGCATCCGAGGAAAGCAGAAAAATGTCCTGCTTGGATCAATTCCGAGATACCGAAGACGCGAGGACTGCGTTGATAGCGTGAAATTTGCCGGTTTCACGGGAAATCGCGATTAAGTCCTCGTCGCGTAGGATCGATGGTGGAAAAACACGATCGTAGACTCGTCGCGACGCCCTCGTCGCAAGAAAGCCGGGCGCGTTAACGTTGAATCACGCAATCACCGTCGTGATTAACGGTCCGATTGATCGCGACGTCAAATTAATGTTATTTATCTTCGACTGCACCGACGTTGGCGCATTGGCGTCGCGCGTATTACCGTAATTACTAATTATAGTTTCGAGCCGGCTCGTTAATTACCCGGTGCGCGATCCGCGCGAGTGAAACGCCGGTATTATTGACTCGCTAAACAGAGAACAGTCTCGACCATATTTTCAGCATATTTGCGCGAGCGGCGAACTTGCGTGCCACGCACACACGGTCGCAGACGCAGAACGAAATTTCGCCCGCGGACGCGCGTCGTCAGCAGCCCTCTGTTGGCGCGCGAGTGCGAGCGTACGAGCGAGCGAGCGGACGAGCGAGCCAAAGAGCGAGCGAGCACGCGTTTTAACGATCACCGGTGATTAAACAGCAATTACCGAGCCGCGGGTATCGAATTATTGTATAGCGAAGAGAATCGACTCGTTCCCCTTCTCTCGAGAGAAGATCATAAATTTCACTCACCTCTGTGTCTGCTGGTTTGCTTGTCGAACATCAGCATGGCATCCTCGATCTGTAATTCGAATTAAAAAGAACACGTTAATTGCCACTCTTGTTGCGCTGGGAATTAATTTTACGTGTTCGCGCGGACAGTCGGGTTAGGCTCGCGAAATCCAGCCGGGGATGAAATTCGACGGGGCTGGATTTTCGGATCATTCTTTTAATCCCTAATTATCGAACGACGAGCCCGATGATTAATTTCCAACTGCTACGGATAATCGTATTTTAAAAGTTGTCGATTGTTCGGAAAATACCCGAGGATGATAAATTTTCAGCGCGGTGCTAGACGCGTGAAAAATGTTTTATTAATCGTGATAAAACGTACCACTCGGGGAACGCGAATCGTAACGGTTACATTTTCGCAGATTCCTCGACAAAAGGGAGCGATCGCGTTATTAAACAACCGCGACGAATATACGAGCTGAAAAAAGCTGGAGAGCGAGGCGCAACAAGACGTCGGAACTTAACGTCGTAAATTAGCAGCGACCCCGGCTCGGTGTTACTGAAAAAACAACCCCCTTTACGTGTCAGGAGTTTAAAGTAGCACGGCGAAGGCGTTATGGATCGTAAACGAGCGCGTGGGACCGGGATATCAGAGCTCGAGGCGGCGCGACAAATTTTCCAGGGGCGATCAAGCACCCCTTCTGGAGGAAATTAGCGTCGTACGTTGCAGGAGGACGCGTAAAAATCCAAATCTCGATTTTCATTCGACCGTTGCAACTGACCTTAAATTACCCAACTATCTCCGTGCGCTCGCGAAACGCGGGACAACGCGGATAAAAATCGCCCTCGTTAAACTTGCACGTTTCGCCCGGATCGTGTTTCCCACCTCGGGCGAAAAAGCAAAGGAAACAAAGGGTAAAAGAGATGAAACGGAAAAAATAGAACGAGAAATAGAAGAAAAACCCGCGCGTTCCCGGATCGAACGTTAACCTAACTCTCTCGAGCGATCGGTGGCGCGCTGGTGGGGCGAAACCCCGTCGAATCGGAGATAGGATCGCTTGTATTCTTGCCGGAAGTACATGTGTGCCGTAAAGCACAGCTGGACCGAGATTTACGAAGCACGCCGCCGAGAAAGGCGTAGCAAGGGGATGGAGAATAGCTGGAGTTGTAGCAGGTAGGGTTGCGCGGGGGTGTGTTGTCGGTAACCGAAATAGCGGAGCGAGAGTGAGAGAGAAAGAGAGAGAGAGAGAGAGAGAGAGAGAGAGAGAGAGAGAGGGAGGAAAGAGAAGCGTAGGAGGCGGGAAGGCGACGCGGCTAGTAGGATTTATGGGACAGGAGAAACAATAGGGATTACCTTTACCCCCTGCTGCCCTCGGAGCCAGTCTCTGCTTTGTTCCTTCCCACTTCCTGCGAAAGGACCGCAAGCACGAAACGATAGAAGTAACGGCGATGTGCCGCCACCAGCACGTGAGAATGGATCGGAATTATCCTGGCGAGACAGAGGAAGAACGACGGACTGAAAGGTAGCGGAGAATGTTGATGGAGCGTCGAGGGTGGCTCGAGGGTGGCCCGTGGGTGGCCCGGGGGCGTAGGAACTATGGCGTAAGCGACGTCGCGCGGGGGTAAATATTAGATTATGCGATTAACATTCGATGGACTTCGTCGCGGGGGCAGTTTCATCCCGTTTGCATCTGTCAACGCGGCGTAATTCCGCTTTACGTAATACGCTCCGCGGCCAAAGTAGCATCGCAGGGGCGTGTCCGCGAGCGGACAGGGTCGCGTTGATTTAGGATGCTGAGCGAAAATGTTGGTCAGTCGGGGTAAAAGTAAGCGGACGGATAACCTTTCTCTCTCTCTCTTTCTCTCTGTCTCTCCTACTTTCATTATCTGTCTCTTTCCACGCTCGCTGGCACCCGAAGCGAGAAGATTGAAATTAATCGGATGGAATGGAGAGAATCTGGTAGAAATTCGTGCGAAATTTCTGCCGCTCTCATTATCGAGCGTTTTACGTGTTCGGAGATAATTATGAAATACCCTCTACCATCTTCGGGGTAGTATCGTATTTATTTCGATTTTTATTTCCATTTCATTTATCGAGCTCGCTTTAATCCGTCGCATTTCAATTGAACTTTCTACGAGGAAGAATCCACTTTGGGACTATCAACGTTATCGTTATGGAATCATCAAAGGGGTTAAAATGACTTTATTCGGATTTTTCATTTTTGCAACTGCCGCGGGACTACTTTCGGCAAAGTCGATATTAATTTTCATTCGAACAAAATCGCAATTACGCGTGCTTGCTTATTTCCATTTCGCCGCGTTAATTACGCGTTACAGATTGCGGTACCGCTAGCGTCAAGGAACGTCTCGTTCTATCCTATTCTTTCGTTATACGCGTACGTATATTCGTCTTCTTCTAAAAGCCGTCACGTTTACCGCGCGGATAGAGATTGATACCGAAACATTCATCCACGTCGTCGTCTGGATTTGAGACCCAGCCGTTCTCGACGCGGGTGGTTTGTTTGAATATCGTTAACTGTTCCGTGGACGCGACGCTGGCAACGAGGGGGGGTTGAAAGCGAGAAAAAAATAAACATCGAGCAGCGGCTTGTTCCTCAAGACTCGGCCGCTAACGAGAGAGCAGTCGCGTGTAAGAATCGCAGCGGCGTCTTCAATGAGGGATGGCTCAAAAGCGTGATCGTTTTATCGCGCGACGCGTGTACCTGTCCTCCTCCGCTTTGCTCGCGAAAAACGGGAGAAAAGAAAAATGGAAGAACCACGTCGGCGAATCGATTCTCCGAAGGCGGCGGAAACGCAGCCGAAGCATCGCGTATACCCCGGAGATGATGATTATTCATCGAAATAATTCGCGTACTGTTGCTTTGAAAGTCGCGCGAAACATACCAAGGAATTGAGTCTCTTAGACGACGTTCGTCCCGTTTTTACTTTCAAAAGAACGAGTAATATTATACGAGGAAAGAAAGGACGATGAATGAGAGAGACAGCAGGAGGACAAGGAAGAGAGACGGAGCGAAGCTTTTAATAAAAACAGAGGAGGCATCGCGGCGTAAGGGAAGACTGACACCAGGGACCCCTCGCCATTGCCAAGTCTTTGCCTTCTTCGCTGTTTTTCACAAAGTCTACGCCTTTCCATTATTTTTCTTCTTGTTTTTCTCGTATCACACCTTTGTTGCGGCGCATGGCGCGCTTCTGCCAGTTAAATCAAAGTCTCAACATTCCTCGTTTGATGATCCTACCGCTCGTCCCTTCGAGGAACCCCTGTTTTTCGGCCGCGAGCAAAGATGGCGCCGATCGCTCGACGACCGCGACCCCTGCAAGGGTGCAGATTCGCGCGAGAACGCGCAACACTGGATCCAAGATCGAGGACATATCCACGAGGATATATCTAGCCGAGATTTCGTAGCAAATGACTCATGGGTGGGCTTGATTCGCGTGCTGGGTAAAAATAGACGTCTGAATAATCGATAGGCGTGGGCCGCGAAGAGAGGGTGGAACACGGAAAGGGGATGATTCGATCTCTCTGAAGTAGGAACAGGGATACGATTTAATCCGACGAAAACCGAGATATCACGGGCGAGAATGAAAAGTAAAAGGCCCAATTCTCGAAATTCGGATGGAATGGAGAGAATCTGGTAGAAATTCGTGCGAAATTTCTGCCGCTCTCATTATCGAGCGTTTTACGTGTTCGGAGATAATTATGAAATACCCTCTACCATCTTCGGGGTAGTATCGTATTTATTTCGATTTTTATTTCCATTTCATTTATCGAGCTCGCTTTAATCCGTCGCATTTCAATTGAACTTTCTACGAGGAAGAATCCACTTTGGGACTATCAACGTTATCGTTATGGAATCATCAAAGGGGTTAAAATGACTTTATTCGGATTTTTCATTTTTGCAACTGCCGCGGGACTACTTTCGGCAAAGTCGATATTAATTTTCATTCGAACAAAATCGCAATTACGCGTGCTTGCTTATTTCCATTTCGCCGCGTTAATTACGCGTTACAGATTGCGGTACCGCTAGCGTCAAGGAACGTCTCGTTCTATCCTATTCTTTCGTTATACGCGTACGTATATTCGTCTTCTTCTAAAAGCCGTCACGTTTACCGCGCGGATAGAGATTGATACCGAAACATTCATCCACGTCGTCGTCTGGATTTGAGACCCAGCCGTTCTCGACGCGGGTGGTTTGTTTGAATATCGTTAACTGTTCCGTGGACGCGACGCTGGCAACGAGGGGGGGTTGAAAGCGAGAAAAAAATAAACATCGAGCAGCGGCTTGTTCCTCAAGACTCGGCCGCTAACGAGAGAGCAGTCGCGTGTAAGAATCGCAGCGGCGTCTTCAATGAGGGATGGCTCAAAAGCGTGATCGTTTTATCGCGCGACGCGTGTACCTGTCCTCCTCCGCTTTGCTCGCGAAAAACGGGAGAAAAGAAAAATGGAAGAACCACGTCGGCGAATCGATTCTCCGAAGGCGGCGGAAACGCAGCCGAAGCATCGCGTATACCCCGGAGATGATGATTATTCATCGAAATAATTCGCGTACTGTTGCTTTGAAAGTCGCGCGAAACATACCAAGGAATTGAGTCTCTTAGACGACGTTCGTCCCGTTTTTACTTTCAAAAGAACGAGTAATATTATACGAGGAAAGAAAGGACGATGAATGAGAGAGACAGCAGGAGGACAAGGAAGAGAGACGGAGCGAAGCTTTTAATAAAAACAGAGGAGGCATCGCGGCGTAAGGGAAGACTGACACCAGGGACCCCTCGCCATTGCCAAGTCTTTGCCTTCTTCGCTGTTTTTCACAAAGTCTACGCCTTTCCATTATTTTTCTTCTTGTTTTTCTCGTATCACACCTTTGTTGCGGCGCATGGCGCGCTTCTGCCAGTTAAATCAAAGTCTCAACATTCCTCGTTTGATGATCCTACCGCTCGTCCCTTCGAGGAACCCCTGTTTTTCGGCCGCGAGCAAAGATGGCGCCGATCGCTCGACGACCGCGACCCCTGCAAGGGTGCAGATTCGCGCGAGAACGCGCAACACTGGATCCA